ATAAAATCAAAGTGTGAATTATCAAGGGGAATTTACAACCCTTAAGTGAAGGGGATGATAGCAGGTAAGGTTATAGAAGCTAGTCGTGATATAAGACTTGGCAAACGGGCGCGCCAACCATAATGCAAAATGACGCAACGCATTAGATGGATTCTACCAACGAACAGCAAGGGAATTATTACGGCTAATTCTAGGAACCCAAAGGAATCGGAGCTTATTCCAAGCAAAAGCTCTGCATACAAAAACAAAATAAAAGTGGACCCAACTGGAGAATATGCAGTAGACGATTTGAAGATGAAAATAGGAGTATTTCTATTAAAATAATACAGATTAGAATGATTCTAAGATTGACACGGCTTCAAAGATGGTTATAAGTAAGAAAAAAAAGTTGAGAATAAATTCCTCATGACAGGTTGTAGAGGGTTAAACACATAGACCATCTTTAATTATCTCCTGGTGTAACTGATCTAGCAATCCCTCTTAGCCAACTCATCAAGATTTGGAATATAAATAGTCTGATAAGAATGTATTTCTTGAGACCCAGAAAATTGATGAAACAACGACATACTTTTAGAATCAAGAGGTTATGGATTGATAGAATACAACAATGACTAGATAGATGCAAATACTGTTGTTGGGTGCTATGGGAGAAAGTATAACTGAGCACCAAGCAAAAAGAAAACCTGAGAAAATTTTTTTTCGAGAATGGAATGGAGACCACTTGAAGCTAAAACCTCAATGTGAAAAAAAACGTGGAAATTTCAGACAGACCAAATGCTGAGGTAGAGATTTAGATGATACCTGACTAACTACACATACAAGTAGAATTAGATGCATGAAAATCAGACTCAGGTACATATATACACTTTTAGAGTGATATACTATGGTATATGGTTGAGAAAAAGAAGAATGAAATGATATGTAACGAAAATCTGATAGAAATAAGTTTGTTTTTAGAAACCTGTTGAAATTATACTAACCATATTTTGATATACATATATACGAATAGACAAGAATACGTAAGTCTGTAAAGAGTAAAATCCGTTTTAGCATTTGGCTTGAGCTGACATATTTCGTTATACTAAAATAAGGAAAGACTTGCAGCTTGCCCCCTAAAGGAAGTCAAAGATTATCTAGTAAAGCACATATCAGCATAGGAATAAATAAGAAAAAAGATAAGAAATAAGAGATAATATCATATAGAATAATAACAATATATAAGTCGTAGTAAGTTATGTAATGCATATAGTCAGCAAGTGACCAAGAAGAGGAATGATTATCTCAGATGACAAAGCGAAAGGTTAGTAAAGTGTTGGAGAATGGATCAATGAACTAAAACCGAGATGAGGGAAAATCCCGAGGTGGATAAAAC